AAAAAAGATTATGCTACGCAGTAGGCTAACGGCCCCGCCAAAGACGTGGATGTCTGAATCCTTGGAGGCTGTGCGTATGTTCCCTTATGTGACAAAAGGGACACCGCAGGTGTGATAAAGTTAAGGGTCTTGAGATGGGGAGATTATCCAGGGGGGCCCAGTGTGATCACAAGTGTTCTTGTAAGAGGAAGGCGCTGGGGACCTGACTACACAGGAGGAGTGTCAGAGTGACGCAGCACGAGAAAGACTTGTTGTCTTCGAAGATGGAGGAAGACGCCGGAGCCGAGGAATGCAGGGGGCCTCTGGAAGCCGGAAAAGGCAACAAAACGATTCTCCTCTGAGCCTCCAGCGGGAACGCAGCCCTGCCAAAAACTTGATTTTGGGACTTTGACCTACAGAACTGTAAAATAATAAATTTATATTGTTTTAAGCCACTAATCTTGTGGTAGTTTGTTATAGCATCAATAGGAGACTAGTATATACTGGCTTCTGTGAAAAAATAGTAAGGGAGGCAGGAACCAGTTGGAGGTGACTGCTGTTGTCTAGGCAAGAGATACGAGAGCTTGTACAACAGTGGTGGATGTGGGGATGGAAAGGAAGGGTGGAGTCGAAGGATCCCAGGAGGGGAGGAGTCCCAGTCAAAGGTCTTGCTGCAGTCTGGCGGGTGTTACTGGAATGCCACAGCAGGCCTCTGTCAGGCTCAGGCCTTGGCTGGCTCACCCTGGCTGGTGCCCGACACTCTTTATAGAAGGGGGAAGCTCCCACCCGGGCTATAAGGCCGCTCCCAGACACACACTTACTCAACTTCTGTTAATCAGAACCTGCCAACTTCATTCCCACAGGAGAGTTCAGGAGTCTTCAGGACAAGCTCTAAGAAGTAACACCCAGGCAACTTTTACTAGACAAAAGGTAGCAATTATTTCTGCCAATAAGCCTTGTAGTGAACTCTTTTTTTCTTTTTTCCTGAACAGAGATTTTATAATCCTGGAAAGAAGGTGTCCAAATTTAAATATACACATCTCCAACCCAGGTGAAGGAGAACCAAAATTAAATCCAACATCTAAAAACTTCACACTCAGCAGAATAATGAAGAAATTAAAGAAAGAATAAACAAGAAACTAGGAGACCATCTCTTGGCATCTATTTCATTCCTATTTAATGATCCAGATCTACTTAAAAAATGGGATCCTAATTTGGTCCTGCCTAATGGGGCTGTTGAAAAGAAAAAGCAATACAAATGATTTAAGAGACTTTTGGAAAAATTATGTCTATTCTACTCCAAAGGTATAAATTTACATACAGCAAGACCAAGTACCTTGGA